CAGAACCTTCTTGGACATATGCCAGTTAAATTATCACCTGCTGTTTGAAGGAAATGAATGACTGAATATCCATCATGAGTTGTCTCTAAACTGTAACATGCATACTTTAATCAAAGGTATCCAAATAAGTTCAATCTTTGGAAGGTGGATTGTCGTTTTTACATCATTTCTGTTATGTGCACTGGATATTCTGTTTAGTTGGTGTTATTGGACATTTTTAAATACTTTAGATTATTTCTTAATCCTCTGAGCCAGATGTGTGAAGAGCTAGAAACGGTTGGAAGGAAACCAGCTGTGTCTTCAGATACTTTTCGATAACAGATTTATTTTTGTGTGATTCTGATTAGTTTTTCATTGTCATTTCTGGTTTATAGTTGCACGGAAAAAGACTGGAGAGAAAACAGGCGGGATTCGATTGAGGATTTAACTGATTGACTTGAATGTTTTGTTGAAAAATGTTCCATAAATATACTGAGTAGATTTTTAAATAAATTATTGTGGATTGTACAAATTATTTTGACCTCATTCCAGATGTTGGTGGGACTAGAATTGAAAAATAAAGATTTATGGGACTTTTTTCATTGTCCTGTCTTTTTGATCATTGAATAAACAAAGCAGATAAAATATCTGTGTGTTAATTCATGAACAAAGCATTAAAGCTCATAGAAAAGCATCTTAAATCTTAACTTTCTATGAATAATTGAATGTATTTAAGTATTATTTTGAAAGAGAGGAAGAAAGTGTATTATGTTAAATTCAGACAGATAACTTAATCCCATTCCAAGCCCACATTTATTTTCTTGGAAAAACTATATCTAATATAAAAAAAGCAAACATAGGGAATATTTGGTACATAAATGTCAAGTTTTTGGATCATATTGCTGGGGAAGACTGTTGACATCACTGCCTCAAGTTGTCATCACCAAATAATTTTGCTGTTTTAAAGCATATTTGCCTTATTTGGATTTAATCCTCTTCCTTATATGTAATGTGACTCTCAGAAGACTATGGAGAAAGTTCAGTAAGCTAATTTTTAATGACTGAAGGACAGGAGTGCATGTAGTTAAAAATGGTGCTAGGGAGGAGCAAGTAGGATCTGGGGGTTGGTTTGGGTGTTTTTAATCCAAGAGCAATGATGGTATTGAATGGTGGACAGGCTCCTACAGAGAGCAAGATGAAGAGGAGCTTTAATGTCTGCAGGTCATAGAGCCTTTTGATCCAGGGGTCTTCAGATAGGATGGGTCAGCCAGGGAGGATTCCAGGGTGAGGTTTCTTCAAGGAAATCACAAAGAAAAAAGGTTTACATACACTAGGTCTTATAATTAAAGTGTTGGCCTAGTGGTTGGAGCAGTGTGCTTGTGCTCTGAGGTTACAAGTATGCGGTTCAATCCCCACAGCCTCCACTCTGGGTTCCTGAGTGAAACCCTTTACCCCACACTGCTCCCCGGGTGCCACAAAATGGCAGCCCACTGCTCCCAAAATGGATGGGTCAAATGCAGAGAGTGAATTTCCCCATTGTGGGACAATAAAGGGATTAACTAAAACAAACTCTTAAAGGGGAACGCCGTTTTTTTTTAACATTGGGCCTTTGATTTTACGTTATTACATCATGTTCTCCTCACCCATATAAGTTTTGTGTCATTTGGAGCCATTCTGAAAATATTCCGCTCAGTTCAGTTTGTGCCTTCAAGTCGTTGCCCATAGGAAGACATTACTTGAATATAACCTAACAGAATATCTTCAGAACAGCTCCAAATGACACAAGACTTATATGGGTGAGTAGAACATGATGTAATAACGTAAAATCAAGGGCCAAATGTAAAAAAAACGGCGTTCCCCTTTAAGGAGGGCTAGAGGCACCACAGAACATAATGTTCAGGCTTCGAATGTACTCCTGCTAACGTACTGACACACCTGTGGAGGTCGGCCTCTGCTCTGCCCTCCAGTGGACACTGACTGATAGATAAAAATTACACTGACTTTAGAGTTCGAATTGAATCAATAATGGACCCATTTTTGAACGACAGTTTAATGTGTTAAGAACCTCTGCATATCAAAATGTATTTATGAGGAAGCACACAACTTTCCTTCAATGTTCTGCCTTTTTTTTATCTTATTTTCAGTTTATTGCAGCCTCTCTAGTCATAAACATGATAGAGAATGGCCTTTCGCATCAGTTACATCCTCTTGGCAGCACCTTATCTCACAGTTATCCTTCAACCAGCCTTTTCATCTGTACACACAGTACACAGATTTATTAACACCTTCCCACTATCGTTTCGCTGCTATCACCTTTTCTCAGTGGTGAAAGTCACTATTTAGTGACTTGCTGTGCTTGAGCCCTTATAGGAGGAATGCAAGGACCAGGACAATGAGTGAGATTTAAGATAGGAAAGTTTTGTTTAGGCAATGATTGAGGTGAACACTTAATCAAGATAATTTGTTTATAACGTAACTTAATGACATGAATCAAAATGGTTTGAGCTTAAGAATATTATAAAATGTTTTAGTGTTCCGTAACAAAATGTGGCCTGGCAAACAGATGGCTTCATACAGAACACTAGAGTTCAGCTATATAAAGAGATCGTTTATTTATTCACAGTAACATGACTGGATTGGATCAGTTTTCAGTACTGACTTTACATAGCCTTTGTTTTAAATGTACATGATCTTTTTACGTATTTTGAGTGTTTGGGTTCACCTCAGACATTTCGGGTCAAACTGGTTGTGTATTTTCAGACCAGTGAGATAAGAAAGTCTGCTAAAAAAAATATGACAGTAAAAACAGTGATCTAAAAGAGAATAGGGAAATACACAAATTATGTAGAAAACACAGAAACAATGGAGGTTACTTTTCAGTATCAGTGAGGTGTACTTCAAACCATGCAAAGAGATATGAGTCAGAACACATTGAACTGTACATCTCTTATTTGCAGCGTGTCAGGATAAATAGAACGTGCTATGAGAGTGGGAGTAGGTATTTGATTGTTCCTGAAACATTACTGTATTTGCATCTTTATTGAAAAGCCAGGTAAAACCTAAATAAAAACCTAAAATCCTAAACTACAGTTGTACCCGACAATTTATTACATCTAAAGAGATTTTTTGGCGATATGGCATCTGAAGATGCAGAAAGCAGATTGACAGAAAAGGGTAGCATGAAATATCTCTGCTATGGTGCAATCGCTGCTTTTTGACACAACAGAAAAGGTTTTTGTGAGCTCTTTTATTTTCCCCAAAGATCCAATAAAAAGGAACAGTTGGATAACAATCGGAATTAAAAATAATTTCTCTCTGTTGGAAAATCATTTTTGTTCAGGAATATTAAGCAATAGAAAACTAAGCTTCGAGGGAAGCAACAACCTGAGCATCATGGACAAGTGCATTGTAGACTGGCAAACTCTCCTGATGCCACGGCTACAACAACAAGCTTCAGCAGGGAATCGACAGGCAGACCAAGATAGTTTTTGTAAGAAAATGTGGTATCATGTTTTTTCTTTTTATAAGTATATTGCCAGTTCAAAACACAGAAAATACATGCTCTCTTTAAATATTTTTTTCTGTACATTTGCCAGTTAGCTAAAGCAGAGAAACTTTTTTTTGTTTGTTTCTAATGAAACAGGGTTTACAGTTTGTATTTGGACTTCTACTTCAAACACTTGTTATTAGACTAAAATAACATTTTACTCATCACAAAAAGATCATGCAGTAAATATTTTATTCCGACATTTGGTGAACAATTGTAGTGAATACAAACAATTTAACAACACAAATCACATAATTTCTTTCAGCATTACTGCAAACAGATTTCCTAATGTCACCAATTAAAATACATTAATGCTGTTTAAACAACAAGCATGAATTCTGGGCGCTTTACAATCTAAAACAGCAGGTGTCTCAAAAAAAAAATAAATAAATAAAAAATTTTGCAAAAACAAGACATCAACATATTTTTTTACACCAGGACTTTTTCACACACCTGATGATTAAACATAAAACATTGTTTAAAAGCTGAGTGGGCAATACAGCTTATAGAAATACCATCTGCAAGGGGAGCTCTATGTGTTATGACTGACTTAAGAAGATGATTCTGATTCTAATCTGATTATATATATATATATATATATATATATATATATATATATATATATATATATATATATATATATATATATATATATATATATATATATATATATATATATATATATATATATATATATATATTAAAACATGCAACAAAAAAAATTTAACTGGGGTTCTAAACATGGAAACACCAATGCACCAATGTCCTGATCGGTTCCTGGTGAGCTTGCTCCTGGCACCTGACCAAAGGGCTTCTTTCCTCTGTCCCAGTTCAGAGATGGTGCTCAGAGGGAACCATTTGAAGAGTAACAGAGCCCGAGCTGACAGCAGTGGAAAGATGGAGCACCAGTTTACCACTGAAACCAGTTTAGTTTAAAAAAGGATCTATAGAGTTCCAGAGAGCGCCATGACAGATGGTGTCTTTAGAAAAACATCTTGAGAAACACATTTACTGCTGTAAGACCTCATGACTTAACACTAGTGTTGCGCCGATGCCATTTTTTGGCCCCGATACCGATACCCGATACCTGGCTTTGCAGTATCGGCCGATACCATAATAATGTAAAATAATTGCCATCATGGCTTTGTCAAGCTGCTGCCTACCTTTGTGAAGCAGGAAAAAAATCTAATACAAAGTGAATCCAGTAGAACTTTTTATTGCCTACCAGGAGTGGGTGACAATAGTTGAATAAACTTACGGCTCTCAAAATGGTATCGTGCCCTATTTGTTGGTACTCGCAGATACCGATACCACCATTTTAGGGCAGTATCGGGGCCCCGTCCGATACTGGTATCGGTATTGGTGCAACACTACTTAACACTGACTGAATTGCATTGAAAAGTAAGAATTTTTATTTCTCCTATTCATAACAGAACAGAAGAATATTTAAATGAATCACATTTTTTCACACAATTTGCTATCATTTAAAGTGGACTGAGCTGATTCCAGAGTTATTCCAGAGCGTAATTAATTATGTGATTTGGATTTCTTTGTACTGTTATGATTTATTTCTGTCTTGTCTGTCTTTGTTTCTAATTGGCAAAATAAACTTCAAATCCTAATAAAAATAACAATATTGGTGGCTTATGCTTTTTGCAATGAAACCTGACTTCAGATTGCTTTATTAGTTTTAAACTTATAGTTTTTTTTTATTTCTTTTACTTCAGACATCAAACCTAATACAATTACCTCAAGCTACAGAAATAAAAGAATAAAAAAACATTATGGTGATAAATGGATTTTAAAGGAATACTTTTTACTCGTCGTGCAAATCAATTTTTTCCTTTTTTTTCATTTCTTAGCCAACTTTCCTAAATTCTAATGAAACACACGTTGCAATACAGAACAAATAGCTAATGTAATATATCACCTAAATGCTGAAAAAAGACACATTAAGTAGAATATTTAGAATATTCTTTTCCTCATGTTGTGTAGCTGACACTTATTTTGAAATTTAGAAAAAAAACAGTAACACTTTGCAATAATCATCCTAAGCATAAATTATAAATAATAAAGAGACAATTTAGTAATGATTAACAGATAGTTTATTAATGTTTAATAATCATTTATAAACTGCATCCAAGCTGTTAACAAACTGTTACCGGTAATACCCTTTTGCACCATTGTTTAAAGAGGTTTCTTTTCTCCTACATTGATTGTCATCACTGCTGCTCTTTGTATTGATAATGTTTATCTACTCCAACTGCAATTTTATTACCACTTTTGTAAGCTGTACACAATTAAATTTTGTTTTGTATTTATTCAGTGCATAAGAAATTACAATAAAAATTGTCTAAGTCTAATAAAAGGTACATAAATCCTATTGCCCTGCCATGTTAGTTTATCCCTAACCCTTACATCAGCTAATTTAAGACCTGAGTTTAGCCTTTATAGTTTATTTAACATTTTGATAAATTAACTATTTACCTTTTATATTAGGTGAATGCTGTTTTTATGTTTAGATGCTGTTTATAAATGAAACAAACATTAACAAACTCTATAACTCATCAAAAACTGGTTTATTTGCCATCTATAAATTATGGTTATGATGGTTATTGTAAAGTGTAACCATCCATCCATTCATTTTCTCCCATTTAGTCCTAAATTCATTTGCATTTGGGCAAAACACAAAAACAGAGATTCTGTTTTTATTCAGTCAGCTTTTTTCTTCAGTCATTAATGAAGTAGAGCATTTAATTGACTCTTCATCTAACTTATTTTTTTCTGATCCTTTTAATGTCAACTATGACAACAGGGGACATATAATGGACTTGGCTCGTTAGCTTTAAAAAAATTTTTTATCTTCTTGCAAGTTTGCCTCACCATCATTTTAAACAGACAAATTTATTTTATCCTTATAATTAGTGTTTAAATGAAAAAGCTTGTGTTTTTTATTCCCTTTCCCAGTAGAGAATAAAGTGCATATTTGTTAGATATAATAAAAAAAACAGTACATCATGTAAACAATCAAAAAGTTCTGCACTGTGTTATTTACAAATCACAAGATAACAAATTCAAAGTTTGCATCAGATGAAAACTATACAAAAGTGACAAACACCATAAATTAGAATAAAACCAAAGTCAACAAAATTACACCAATAAATTAAATTAACAGATAAAGTTAATTTACGCTCATTTAAAATCATTTTTTTTATGTAAGGGATCCATTTGGTTATGGGATTTATAATTTTCACTGAATCTATATCTGAGATGAATAATAAGAGGATGGCAGTTTAATGGACATGTTTACTAGGAATTTACCTGTATTTGTTTACTTTTTCAAACTTGATATCAGGAAGTTATAAACACAGTGGGTAATAAACCTATTAGTTCAACTGTGTGTAAAAATAAAAAGGATATCACGATCAAGTAACACTGATTAATGTTTGTTTATAATGCTTCATTCACTTTATGTGCTTCTGAATTTGCTGTAAGAATCCAATAATTGCAAAATTTATTTTCAAAATCTTTAAATATATACGTATTTTTTTATATGAACAACTTTTTTATTATGCAATTTCTTGCAATTTGTAGAGAGCTTAAAACTATTTTACAAATTTGGACACATTTTTTTTGTATTTACAGGAAAAATGATTGTATTTTTTGCATCTTTTTTGCATCTTTTTTCTTTTTACTGGTCAGTGGATTAGGAAAATATTGAATAATGTGCATTATGCATACAAACTTACCAACAATCAAGCAGCTCTGCTAAAATAGATATAGAAATACTTTCTCAGGTATTAAAGGCATTAATTCCACCCCTCTTTGAAGCTCAGGGTTGACTGTGTGTGGTGTTGGCCCACTGAGGAAACGTGCCCATGTTAAACATGGCATATCCCCAGGTGTTGATTCCTAAATTAATGCAGAGGATCCCAATGATGTTGAGCATGAATCCAGCTCTCACCTGTGGGCACAAACAGCCACATTCTGGTCAGAGGCAGAACAATGAAAGGTTCTGAGATTTGCTGCTCTAATACCTAAATTGACAATAATACACCTAACTCAGCACTTTCCTTTTAAAGTGAACACATAAATATTTCCTTTTGACTCACCATGTCAACCACCTTGAGGTTTCCAAAAGAGAAGGCAATGGCGTTGGGTGGTGTGGCCACAGGCAACATGAAAGCTAGTGAGGCGGCGATAGTGCAAGGCAGCATCACATACAGAGGGTGTATCTCGATGGCTGAGGCCTAAAAGACATGGAATATCTGTAAATGCATACAAAACGGAGGATCTGTGTGAAGGCGTTTAAAAGTTTCCCTCAGTTTACCATTGAACCAAGTATAGGCAGGAACAGAGTGGTGGTGGCCGTGTTGCTGGAGCATTCAGTGAAAGTTGCCACCAACAGAGAGAGCAGAATGGAGATTGCAAAAGGGGGCACTTTCTGCAGCGGCGTCAGACTTTCTCCCAACCATACGGACAAACCTGAAGCCTGCAAACATCAATGTAGAGGTAAACGTTCAATATGTCCAAAGCAATTCTATGGAGTTGTTTAACAGCTACTAATAATTCAATTCAATTCAGTTTATTTCTATAGCGCCAATTCAAAACACATGTCATCTCAAGGCACTTTACAGTTCACCAGATCATACAGTCAAATTTATTAAAAGTTTTCTATCTAAGGAAAACCAGTTTATTGAATCGACTCGTTGACTCGAAGGCAATCCCTCACACTAAGCATGCTTGTAGCGACAGTGGAGAGGAAAAACTCCCTTTTAACAGGAAGAAACCTCCAGCAGAAACAGGCTCAATAAATACTTTTACCAAAAGATAACTGAAAATGTTTCTGAAAATTACATAACACGGTGTTGTCTTCATCTGTCCTTTCTAAAATGTATCCACTACAGTTTGAAAGGTTTTAATTTTAGCAAGGGATTGCTTTAAGAAAGTAACGGTAGAAACATTGAGCCGGAAGAAGATCAGACTCCATATTTCAGCACTAACTTGGTACCAGGCAAACGTTTTTATATTTATATTGTAACATTACATCTCTTACACTGATTAGTTAAACAATATTTATATGTATAAAAAACATACACCAATCTGCTATGTGATAAATGCATTAATCATTATCCATTATAGATAATATTGTTGGTATATTGTAAAATTGGTTATTCTTTGTGTTTTACATAAGGATTAGCAAGCTAAAAACTTAAAACAAAAAGCACAATAGTCTAATGTATTGCAACCTGAAATTTCTAACAAAAACATTTATTCTAAAAAGTAAAAAAGGAAATAACTTAAATTATATAATTTCAAATTATGTAGATAATAAAAAACATAAAAAATTAAATTCATTTCTCTTCTGTGAGATCAATAAAGTCAATCAATCAATAATCAATTGATAAAAAAAACACACAGAAGTATTTTTTTTACATGATAAATGAATAAAGAGAATTGCATAAAACAAAAGAAATGCTTATAACTAATTTAGGAATGCAATTAAATGTCAAGATAAAAAATTCTAAAAAAAAAAATAAACATGAATATATAACAAAGGACAGAAAAAGCTTTTTTTTTTTTTTTACTGTTGAATACATATCAAATGGATGAATGAATAAATGAGTAAAAAAGTCTGCAGGATGAAATATTAACCATGAACCAATAGGTGAGATCTGAATCTCACCTATTGGTGATCATTACATGTTGGTATTAGCAATGGGCATAGAAGGAAGAAGTTAGAAAAATGACCTCACCTCACTGCCAGCAGCCAGAGCGAATCCTCCACCCAGCAACAGGATGATGTTCCAAGGCATCCGCTCATGCACCACCTGCCAGTTCAGCAGGGTTGGAGGCGCCTTAATCCTCTTTCCTGATACATCAGGTGGAGCAATAATACATAAAAGTGCTTAATGCAGAAGACAAGTCTGATGTTTTAAAGTTATTGCTTTCCTCAGATTTAGATAACCTGACTCAGATGCTGTCTTACCTGCTTCAGTGAAACCATAGCTGCCAAACTTGGGCAGCCGAGAAGGGATGACGAAGAAGAGCATTGACATGAAAATGGCCACTGTTCCATCTGTCACAAATCTAAAGAAACAAAGATTGACACATTTAATAGCAAAAATGATTAAATAATAACATAAAAAAATGCATTTTAATAAAATCTTTGACATTTCTTTCTTAAAAAATAACAAACAACATTAATTTCTTTAAAATCTTAGCCTTTCTGTACTAAGTTGACAAGAAAAAAGCAGCTGCTTGAAATAATTTTTAAAATCAAGATGATTTGTTCAATAAAATGATATATATTTGGAGTCAACAGAAGCATGTAGCAATATCAGCTCACAACAAGATCTGCCTTTATCATTATTTACTTTTTTTTTTTTGTTCACTTGTAACCATGGCCAGGCACATCTGGATGAATCAGTTCATAAAGTAATGAAATATAGCTGCCTTAAGTTCAGGAAGCGGTGGAGTTATGCATAGAGCTCATTAAGACTCTTGGCTGATTCTCCAAACAGAGATATGTCTGTCTGCTCACAAATGCAAAAACCAGCCCTAAACACTTAAATAAAAACAAACAAGGTAAAAAGAAATCTTCTAAAACCCTGAAAAATCCATTAAAATGTTTTTTTTATTAAAAGAAAGGAAAGCCAAATAACTCACGAATCGTTCTTGTTGAAGAGCACTGTTGCCCAGCCGGGTATGAAGCCCGGCTCCCTGGTGAACCAGAGGAGCACTAGCAGAATGAAGATGGTGAGAACTGCTCCCTCAGCAAACTTCATACCGCCAAGTTTCCTGTACTCGTCTCTCATCACAGCATACGCTTCCTTATCTCTGTCACTTTTCATGCCACAACCAAATGTTTTCTTCAGGCTGGTTGAAAACAAAACAGCAGAAAGGCCAGAGCTAAGTTTAAACACATAAGGCTGAGGTGCAAATACTTGCTGTTGGGATCTTTATAAAGTCTTAAAATGAATTTATGGCCCTATTACTAATTTACACCATGAAATGGCACACATTTGGAATAAAATCTTGTATTTCTTTCTGAATTTTATCGATTATTAATTATCTTTTCAAAAAATAAAACAGACACTCATTAATTGTTAAAAAGTCTACAGTTCACATCATATCTCATTCGGCTCTGTTTGTCAACTGTTGGTGGATGTGGTTGTGGACCGAAACACAGAATAGACGGAGGCAGCGATGAGTTGTTGCTTTTTTAATGAAGATGCAAAGGAAACATACGGAAGAGGATTAGGGCCACTAAAAAAAAAAAAAAAAGAAAGATTAGGGCCACTGAAAAAAAAAAAAAGTTAACTTATTTTTAAATTTTATTTCAGTTTAATATGTTTTTTTCTCAAAATTCTGACTTTAATCTCAGAATTCTGACTTTTTTCTCTGAATCCTGACTTTAATCTCAGAATTCTGACTTTAATCTCAGAATTTTGGATGTTAATATAGAAGGGCACTATGAAGCAAGAGATGTGGGAGCTTCAGCTTCACTGACAAAGATGTGAGTTGTTTGAGGGGGCCAGTGGCACATTGGTGGAAAATGACGGAATTAGGCAAACTTTTTACGTGCCTGAGGGGTCCCCTCATTAATGGAGGAACAGAAGGTCATTAAAACAAGAGAGCTAGTCTCTAAAACAGACATGGCTATTGTGGTGAATGGGCATAGTTTTGATCACGTGGTGTCAGCGGTGATTGGTAAAATCACCTGTTCTGTTCACCTGGTGTTTTTGTGTCAGAGAGTGGGTGATGGGGGGTGTCTACATTTTGCTGACCGCTTTAAGTTTTGGAGATTATTGTTGCTCTTGATCACGGCTCCAACCTGTGGATTTGTTTGTATGCTGCCTGCATGTTTTTTGAAGATCAATAAAAGGATCTGAACAGCATATTGGACTGAACCTTTTTGAGCGCGTCAACAAGGATTCCCCTAATCAGCCGCTCGGCGACTTAGTTGTTTTGACTGTCGCCAACAATTGTCAGCAAAATAGGATAAAGAAATGACAGCAACGGAGCTTCTAGCACACAGGAACGGACGCGAGCCCACACTACACCTACGGAAATGGATAACTTCATAAAGAAGGAGAAGACGGTGAGGGTATGTAATCGGCATGTTTGTGCTGTTTAAATCCAGTTTGCTTCTGTTTGGTGAAGCTGTCGTGACACGCCCCCTGCTACGTTTGCTGTTGGACTCTGGCTGCAGGATTTGATGCGCGCGTGTGTGTGTGTGTGTGTGTGTGTGGCTCTGCGTAATCTCTGCAAGCTGGTGCTTTGAAGTTTCCTGTGATTTGGATTTTTGGCAACTAAATGACGCAAAATGAGTGGATCATCTACTGTATCTGTTGGTGAAAAACCTGAAAAGGATAAAAGAACTATCGTTCTCACTGAGAAGGCTCTTGCAAATAAAATTGAAACTATCCAAACAGAACGGAAAAGGCATGTAAATAAAATGAAAGGTCTAATTGCTTCTCTCAAAGATCTAATGAAAGGTGATGAAAATTACTCACAAGTAAAGTTACAGTTGGATGAGTTAAGGCGCCTCTCTAAGGATGCCAATGCATTGCATGAATCTCTGTTGACTTTAATTCCATCTGATGAAAAACATCAGCAAAACACATGGTTCTCAAGCATCACAAAATACAATAAAGGGTTTACTGAGGATGTTGAAATATGGCTTTCTGAAATTAATAAATGCTCAAGCAGGCCATCCTCCGACATGCTACAGTCAGAGAAATCTCCTGTAGGAGGAAAAGTGGAGGTTCAACAGCACATGGAACACAGAAAGTCTGTTAATCCCCAGCATGATAACCAGGAGGATGTGTTGCCATCTGATAGTATTTCAAATCAAGGGAGCAGGTCAAGCTCCAAAGTATCATCCACTGCATCTGCACGTCTCAGGGCTGAAGCTGAAATGGCAGCCTTGCTCACACGTCAAAATATGCTGAAAGAAAAACATGCTCTGGAAGAACAAGAGGAGCAACTGAGGAAAAGGAAAGAACAGCTTCAACTTGAAGCAGAAATAGCTGCAACCGCTGCAAAAGTAAATGTGCTGAAAACTGGATCTGCAGTGCAAAGCAGAGCTTCACAGAAATCCAATGGAATGGAATCATATTTCAAAACAAAAGGAAAAGCTCTTGAGATTCTTAAAGCAGACGCAAAGACTTTTGTTCCACAGACACTTCCAAAGAGAAATACAGTTTTTGGAAATGCAGAGCTGCAAGTAAAAACAATGCAACAGAATGCGACAGGGGAAAAAACTACACCTCTTTATACGAGGCCTTCCGATCATCTAACAAAGAAACCTTCATATATGCCTCTCCAGGAAGCTGCTCAACCAGTAGCCAATGAAACCCTGTTGTCCATCATGGACAAACAAAATGAATTAACTTGTATGTTAGTACGTCAACAAAGCCTTTCTTCTCTACCTAGAAGAGACATTCAACCTTTTGATGGTGATCCTCTTCACGTCCAGGCTTTTATGCGTACATTTGAACAGGTTATTGAAGCAAAGACCGATAATCCTGATGATTGCCTGCATTATCTTGCACAGTACACTAGGGGTCAGCCCTGCGAACTTGTCAAAAGCTGTCAACATATGTCTGATGGTGCTGGATATATAAAAGCAAAGACTATGTTGTACGAGCACTTTGGAAATGGACATGTCATTGCATCTGCTTATCTGAATAAAATACACTCATGGCCTTTGATTAAATCAGAAGATGGAAAAGCTCTTCAGGCATACTGTTTGTTCTTATGTGGATGTTGCAATGCGATGGAGGATGTTTATGATCTTTCCGAATTAAATACACCTGCCAATATGCTTGCTTTAATTAGAAGATTGCCTTATAAGTTGAAAGATAAATGGCGCACAGCAGCATGCGACATCCAAGAGAAGCAGCATCGCAGAGCTACATTTACTGACATTGTTTTCTTCCTTGAACGTCAAGTTAAAATTATTACAGATCCTGTCTTTGGAAATCTATGTGATGCTCCAACATACTTAACAGTCAAGAATAGTGATGGTGAGAAACATTCTCCTCGTCTAAGAACTCGAGGGAGTAGCTTTGGTAAAACCATATCTGCTGTGGGGAGAAATAATTTTTCAGAGGCTCAAGAACATCAGACTGCTGTGAAGATTTGTTTGTTTTGCAAAGGTGGACACACATTGGATTTATGTTCTCTGTTTGGTAATAAACCTCATAATGAGAAGATTTCATATTTTATGAAGAATAATGTCTGTTTTGGTTGCTTGGGCACAGGACACATCAGCAAGGAATGCAGAAATCGCCTTTCATGCAAAATCTGTGGTTTTAGACATCCAAGTATACTTCATATCCACGACAAGAAGAACCGGGTCAAACTTGACACTGAGGCAGACAACACTCCTGTCACAGTCCAGACTAGTGGTCTTACTGGGGCCGGGGAACAAGATTGTAAGCTTTCAATTGTGCCAGTCAAGGTGAAATCAAAGAAAGGTCAAATAATAGTGGAAACCTATGCCTTTCTGGACCAAGGGAGTTCAGCATCCTTTTGTACAGTGGGTCTTATGGACAAGTTGAATCTCACTGGGAGGAAAACAAAGATTCTTTTGCGCACCATGGGACAAGAGAAAGTGATGGACAGCTTTATTGTGCCTGAACTTGAAATTGCTGGATTGCTCAGCAATATGTACTGTGACATGCCTGACCTCTTCACTCAGCACAGAATGCCTGTAGACCAAGGTAACATCCCGAAGCAACGCGACTTGGATAAATGGCCACATTTGAAGCGTGTTCTTTTGCCTGAGATAAAAGCTCAGGTGGAGCTTCTGATTGGCCTAAACATGCCCAAAGCTTTAGAACCTTTGGAGGTCATCAGAATTGAATGTGATGGACCCTTTGCCATTAAAACGATGCTCGGTTGGACAGTGAATGGGCCACTCGAACAAGAATGCTGTGGAAAACCAAACTGTCTGTCAACATTTACTACCAATAGGATTTCTGCTATTACATTGGACAAGTTATGGAAGCAACAGTTCAAGATTGACTTCCCTGAGAGCAGCTATGATGAGCGTGTGGGGATGTCACAGGAAGACTCTAAGTTTCTGGAGTTAGTTGATAAGACAGTGACCTTAAAGGATGGACATTACAGCATAGCCCTGCCTTTGAAAGACAGAGAAATAAAAATGCCTGATAACCGAGTAATTGCTGAACAACGTGCCTTAAGCTTGAAAAAGAGGTTCATCAGAGATAAAGACTTCCGTAAAGACTACACTGCCTTCATGAAAGATCTTCTATCCAGAGATTATGCAAAAAGAGTGCCAATTGCAGACTTGGAGCGACATTATGGGAAGGGCATTTCTCTTAATGCACAGCTCCATGGTGGTTCCTGTGCCGCAGTGGGCGGCCCCTTCCGAGTCTGTTCCTGTGCCGCAGAGGGCGGCCCCCTCTGAGTGTGTTCCTGTGCCGCAGTGGGCGGCCCCTTCCGAGTCTGTTCCTGTGCCGCAGTGGGCGGCCCCCTCTGAGTGTGTTCCTGTGCCGCAGTGGGCGGCCCCCTCCGAGTCTGTTCCTGTGCCGCAGTGGGCGGCCCCCTCCGAGTGTGTTCCTGTGCCGCAGTGGGCGGCCCCCTCCGAGTCTGTTCCCGAGCCGCAGTGGGCGGCCCCCCTCCAGGTCCTGGATTAAGACTCCAACCAGCCATCTATGCAGACCCATCACAAAGATATGCCTTCTTCAGGAAAGTTCCGACCAATAAAGACACTTTTGTACCTAGTTTGACTTGACTCTTTGACTTGACTTTAATACTACTTGATGTACATCACAGACTGACTATAAGGCTAAGTGCTGGTAACCTCTGGCCTATGACTGATTGACTACTCTATATGGACAAAAGAAGAAAGGAGGAAATGACGTCTATGGACTCTTTGAACGTACAATGTCTCATTCAGTGTTCTGATATAATGTATATCTCAGCATATGTGTGTTGGATGTGTAATTATTACCTTGTAGTGAAGTAATAATTAGGGGCCGGAATGTGGTGAATGGGCATAGTTTTGATCACGTGGTGTCAGCGGTGATTGGTAAAATCACCTGTTCTGTTCACCTGGTGTTTTTGTGTCAGAGAGTGGGTGATGGGGGATGTCTACATTTTGCTGGCCGCTTTAAGTTTTGGAGATTATTGTTGCGCTTGATCACGGCTCCAACCTGTGGATTTGTTTGTATGCTGCCTGCATGTTTTTTGAAGATCAATAAAAGGATCTGAACAGCATATTGGACTGAACCTTTTTGAGCGCGTCAACAAGGATTCCCCTAATCAGCCGCTCGGCGACTTAGTTGTTTTGACTGTCGCCAACAGCTATGGCTTGATGCTTAATTGTTTGTTATCCGTCAGAATTCTGAGAAAAAAGTCAGAATTCTGAGATTAAAGTCAGAATTCTGAGATTATAGTAATTATAGTAAGAATCCTGACTTTTTCCCCATGTTAATTGAAATAAAATTTAAAAATCAGTTAACTTTTTTTTTTTTTTCAGTGGCCCTAATTCTTTTCCGTAGAAACAGGATCAAAATCCAAAAGCAAAAAAAATAAAAATTAAAAAAATTAAAAAAAAAAGGAGTCATCAGGGAAAACACATATGAGGAGCAAAGTAACAACAAGAGACCAGTACTGAGGAACTGCACAGAAGTGTATATATGGGAGACAGAACAAAGACTGGAGTAATCAGCTAACAGGGAGCAGGTGTGAATAGAAGCAACTAGAAACTAGGGAAAGGAGACTGGCACAAGGGGGAAACACAAAAAACTCCACAACACTGCTTAAATTACTTACTAGAAAACAACTACAATAACACAAAACAGACTCTGTAAGAGCCTCTGTAAGAACATCCAATCAGTGCTTTTATCAGTTTTTTTATTGTAATGTTTTAATTTATTGTATATCTACTACATTTTCTGTGTCTGTTACTCTTTATGTACTTTGCTTTTGATCAGTTTTGAAAAAGATGGTGCAAAAAAAAAAAAAAAAAAACTTAAAGTATTTACCTAAAACTTTAGATTGTTTGACCTATCTGCATACTTTTATCTCAGTATTCTGGAGATCACATTTAAAAGAGAATGAGCAGAGGAACTTTGTCCCTAAACTGCTCTCATGGGGAAAAAAATGATTGGGAAGTTTTAATCACACAAATGATAAGGTCTATTTGTGGTTTAATATATGTATATATATTTTTTTGTCTTGGTCTTGTCTGCTCTCCCTGTCATTCTACAACTCAGTGGAACCTCATTCTCATCTTTTTGAAATGCTGGGTTGTCTGTAATGAGTTTGATGTCTCATCAATAAAAGCTTTGCTTTCTGCTGATCCTTATAAAGGCTTTTTTTTTAAATAGCCATGCTTTTGAACGCAACAGAGAGAATAGATGGTTTGGTTGTTGTTGTTTAGCAAACAAATTATATACTTGACACTGCTTACACATCTACTGGTTCTCTTACTTCAAGCCAAGAAACAAGAACTGAAGCCAGAGCCAGGAGATCACCAGCATGAGCACCATGTTGGGGAAGGCAAATCCAAACCAGCTGGCAAAGTTGATCACATCTCCATTTTCAGGGAAGAGTCTTTGAAAGAAAAAAAATGGCAATAAGAATATGAGAAAAGGATGAGTTGTTTTGAACCTCTATTGTATTGATGGCTCACTTGTCCATTTGACCCTTGAGAATGAGGTTGGGGGTGGTTCCCGTAAGAGTAGCAGTTCCTCCGATACTTGCAGAGTAACACACGCTCAGACTCATCCCTTTAGTCAAGAGCTCGTACTTTGCCTCCATGGCTTTTCTCCTCAACTCCTGCGTGGACTCTGGAGGCACTTGATGCTCGGCTGTAACCCCCCAAAAAAAATATTAAAAGAATCCTTTTCCTTTTCTAGAATAGACCTATTGAGAAAGCTAAGATTTCACCTACCCACACCATTCTCCAAGGGCAACTTTGTCTCTGGCATTTTTTCATCTGTGATCTCCTCCTTGATTTCTCTGGTCTCCAACTCAAACCCAGGGTTATCCTCTGCTGAGAACTCTCGTTCTTCCGCCTGAGCCTCTGTTGCCTGAAGCTGCTGCAACACAGCTTGAGCAATGGGCAGCATCATGGCTGTTGTGGCCGTGTTGCTGATCCACATGGACAGAAAGGCTGACACAATCATGAAGCCCATCATCAACCTAAGAAAGGGGAGAAAAGGGAGATTACAATTACCATGCTCTGCATGATATAATACGCCTCTATATGAGTTTGATTTTCTAGTTGCGTTTTTAATTTGCAATTATATCATAATCACATTATAAGGTGTATGCAAATGAAACATTTACTTTTGTCTTGAATGGGACATTGCAACCCCAGAGCAACAATCCAGTCTTTTATTTCTTAACGCAAGGTATGACACTCATTGCATGGAGTGAGTCTTGATGTCCTTATTCCAGTTTAAATCAATGCCTTGTGAAAGCAGTTATAGCTGCTGAGCGTGAAGCTGCTTTTTTGTTGTTTTTTAACACACTTTTTTTCTCTTTCAAATAACTATATATATATATGCTTGATGCACATCCAATTTCTTGCGTTCTGTGGACAATTGTCAAGTCACTAGTCGTAATGATTATCTTCCCTGAGCCAAAACATAACATCTTTTTATTTAGAATTATTTTTTTCATTTGTCTTGTGTAAAATTTTCTTAAATATTGAGCATTGTTCTTTTATTTATTATAATTCATAATAATTCATTTAATACAGGGTATTTATTCATACTCGTACTCGTCGTTTTCCGCCTCATTCGGAACTGGGTGGCGGGGTTAACAGTCTGCAGAGACTCCCAGACTTCCCTCTCTGCAGACACCTCCTCCAGCTCTGCAGAGAGCGAGACCTTCCTCTCTGCAGACACCTCCTCCAGCTCTGCAGGGGGAAACCTGAGGTGCTGCCGGGCCAGCCGAGAGACATAGTCCCTCCATTGTGTCATGGGTTGTTCCATGGGTCTCCTCCCAGGGGCACGTGCCTAAAATACCATCTGAGGGAGGCATCCAGGGGCATCAGAAAAAAAACAGTCCACCACCTCAGCAGACTCCTCTCAATGTGGAGGAGAAGCGTCTCCACCCCGAGCCTCTCCTGAATGACCGAGCTCCACCCTCTATCTCTGAGGGAGGGCCCAGCCACCCTGTGGAGAATGCTCATTCCTGCCACTTGTATCCTGGATCTCATTATTTCTGTCATATAATCCAGATTTCATGACAATACATTAGGGTAAGAATGTATGTGAGATTTACCCTTTTGCTCTGCTCTCTCTTTACCACAACAGATCGGTGCAGCATCAGCAATAGCAGCAGCCGTCTATCAATCTCCCTCTCCATTCTGCCCTCTCTCACGAAACAAACCCCAAGATACTTGAACTCCTCCACTGCTCTCCTCTAACCTGAAGGGGACAAAGCATCTTTTTCTGGTCAAGAACAATGGCCTCAGCGTTGGAGGAGCTATTTCTCATCCATAAAGGTTATGAACAGGATTGGTGACCGAGGTCAGCCCTGATAGAGTCTAACTTGCACCAGGAACATGTCCCCAGCATGAAGTTCCCCAGCAGAATGATAGAATCCCCAGGGGGCGCTATCCAAAACCCAACTCCCCACAGAAGATTTAAAGAGTTTAAATCGCATGAGTGTGAATATGTAGGTTTTACATTGTGCACAAAATTAACGAAAGAGATTAACATCTTAGTGATATTCTTATTTATTGAGATGCAGCTATTAGATGTGTTTCTGTGGCAGATTAATTTGATAAAAAGGATTATTGTCTTACAGGGCTGGACGAACACCAACAAGAAGAAGAACTCGCAGAGCAATGCGCTTATGAAGGCTCCAGTGCTCCACTGCTATGGCCACCAGGAGCCCACCAACGAACAGCATATTTGAGTCTTTTAGATACTCAACACTGACCTGAAATAGATCAAAGAAATATTAATTTACGACATTAAAATAGCTTTCAAAAGAACTCTCTCCATGTGTATGAACTTTATATATATATATATATATATATATATATATATATATATGTGTGTTTAGATGGTGTTTGGGTCAAATACTTAGTCAAATCAGTTTTTTCCATTCTATACTAAGAAGTAGAATGACTGTCCAAAACCTCAACAAAAGCAATTTCTTAAAGATGTTCCAGTTGTCCTCCCTTGCCCTCAGAGCGTAATAAAAAGAAGCAATGAAACTTTTTGAGTCACCTTGTAAAATGTCAGAGCTCAGTCTGTCTTGGAACATAGTACTTGCCTTCAAGAGTGAGAATTTTCTACTTTTGGCTACCTTAGATTGCCAACGGAAACGTAAAATAATAGCAAACATTGGTAATGATAAGATGAGACCACAGGGGAGTTTCAATTCTTGCGAAATGGGTTTAATGTAGTTTGTCTGAATGGTGCTACCATACGGTGACATCAAGAACAGGGGCACAGCAAACCCACCCAAGCAGATCTGGTACCTACAACCTTTTGTATTCATATCTAAAGTGAACTGAACCAGAATCCATTTGGACGAAGACTAAAACCACTTGTTTGCTCGAGACAAGAGTTTGCTGGTCTTTATTCACTCCTGCACAAAAGGTTCGCATCAAGGCAGGAAATGAACTATAGTGCATTTAAAGCGGACAAAATGTGGCTGGTGTCAATACAACCTAAAACACATGGTTTTCATTGCTTCAGATCATGTTATTATTTGATTCTCCGTCCGCAACCTGAAGGCATATTAGAAAATCACTCAAATGAATGGCTGAGCTGCTATATTATGGACACATTTGGACCGTTGTGTTGAAGCTGAGGTTAATATAGACAACAATTGAAAGGTCTAAATAAGAGGCATGATATTTGTCCTTTAAAAAGGCAGAACTCCACCTTGGAATCTAAACATGAATAACTGTCTCTTGCCAGTTGAATTCCTCTTTTTAACTCTTTATAGACCATATTTCCTAGAAGAATCACAAACATAGAGGTAGAATCTTACTAATGAGGTACAAAAGTGTAAAAATGAACTGTACATCTCCAGCTTTCATTATGCCCATCATCGGAAATAAGACGACAGGGAGAAGAGCAGTCACAGCCAGAGGCATACACTCTGTGCACCAATACAAAGCCATCAGGATGATTGCATAGCCACATCTTGCTTCCTGTAATTAAACACACAAAAATAAAACAGGTCATAGTTTCAAATACTTTAACAGAACAAAAAAAAAGGCAATTTTTTTCTTGTGGGGATCATCCATCAATACATTTATTAAGATCAAATCTGATCCTGGCAGGATCATATTCCATCCTCTATTATTTCCTTTTATAAGAATGGGAAACAAATGACCATTTTTACCTTTGAACTTTTTTTATACACAACTATGAGTATATGCAGCCCTCAGGAACACAAGTATGTAATAGTATGCATGATAAAACAGTCCATCTTTCAAAATCATAAATGGTTTGAAATTAAAATCACTTTTTATCAAAATTGTTAGAGAGGGTGAGTTGCTTTGAGAACAGCCTCAGGATGACCTAAGGTTAGCAGATATGGCCTGGACCATTTTCTACTGAGGACTAGCACGCCGACTGTTTTCCTTACAAAACTTTGTATCAATTTGACTGTATGAACTGTAAAGTGCCTTGAGATGACATGTGTTGTGAATTTGGCGCTATATAAATAAACTGAATTGAATTGAATTGAATTGACTGTTCTTTCCCTCAGTGCAAAGAATATTTTACGTAGACATCAACAGAACAAAGATTTTTCAGGAACAACCTTGCAAAATTAGCAGCCACAAAGGAGATTATTCTGTACAGGAAACCATTAACCCTTTAAAGCCCGATGCAAGAATAAAACAAAACTGAAAATTACTTTTTTTTTTGGTTTGAAGTCCTTATTTGGCCTTTTAACAAAATATGTAAAAAGAAAAAACAGAAATACATTTTTGATATTAATAATTTATTACTATGCGATAAGTCAAGATTATTTTTTGTGTAGTCTTCTGCCCTCTGTTATCAGGTATATCTGATTGTGTACAACAGGATTTTGAGCAAAGTTTTTACCATTAAATTATGCAAAAGGTGTCAGATGCAAAACATTTCAGAAACCGTATGTATCAAATATGATACATTTGGCATTACAGGGTTAAGGACTGACTTAAATTCTGCAAGAAGTACTTTGACGAATATTGTCAAAGTATTTTCTCTGAGGAACAAACTTTCCTTTTTCAGTAGAAAGCTGGAAAACCATTTTTTAAACAAAGAAAATTTGAACACAATGAAGCACTCATGTTGGATTCCTTTTCATCCGAAAGTGATTCTCTAGATTTTTTCCCAAGATTATAAGATTGGATCAAGTGATCTAAAAAGACATACAGGTTAGTAACAGCCTACATTTATTCAAACATAGGGAAGCATCATATCACTGGGCAAAGTGAAGTTGCTAAAGGGGGAGTGGTGGCCTAGTGGTTTGGGCATAGAGCATCAGTTCTGAGTTCAAGCCCCACTCCCACAGACTGCCACTCTGGGTCTCTGAGCAAGACCCTTAACCCCTGATTGCTCCATGGGCACCCCATAATGGCAGCCCACTGCTACGAAATGGTATGGGTTAAATGTAGGGGTAAACTTCTCCAATGTGAGATTGATAAAGTTCAATTATTATTTACAATACTGAAACCTTAGATTTCAACTATATGAATATATTGGGGTGTTTTCAAAAAAATATTTGCTCATGGCAATTTTTAAGCAAATTTGATTAGATTTTAAACATGCAAAGAGACACAGAAGCCAAAGCAGACATTGACTTACTGCAGAGTTATCCTTCCCTACATTTGCCTTATCTCTGCTTCTCTTTAAAAGGCTATAAGACTTTACACCAGCTGATAGTAGCAACCCTTGATCATCAAACAAACTGTTGTTGTTGTACTCTTGTCTCACAAGATATCTTTTATAGTTCCCTTGTAAAAATATAAAACACCGTTTAAACTGTCCGACACAAAAAATTCCATCGGGAAAATTCTGCTTGACCCTGAAGTTTATTTTATTTTGTGCTAAAAGTTTCTTTAAAAGAAAATAGATGTTAAAGATATTTGTTTGACACCAATGAGGTTAGAAATTATAAATATTACATAAGAATACAATATTTGCATGCATTGTTTTTAGAGTTGTTTAAAGAGGTATAATTAAAAATGCTTAAAATACTAACAGACATCAAGGTCCATAGAAAAACAGAACCTCCTATTTACAGCATCAGCTGGACTTAATCTTGTACTTGATTGCGTATGCTAAAACTCCACACTTGTGTTTTCCCTCATGTTGAAAGTAAATCACAATTTTTAGATTGGCAACAACAACAAATTACAAAATCAACTAATAAAATTGTTAAATTTAAAATATTTTCACAGATTTATTAGAATTTTTGCCCTTTCTGTGCAGAGAAACATGCTAGTTGGAAACCTTTGAACAATTAAGTTTGCATTGATTTGAGTGTAAGTGTACGATATGTTTTATATGCGAAAAGAATACTTAACAACCTCAAATGTTCAAAACTTTAATTTGTTGGAAGGCTTAGAAAAATAAGTATGTGGATTAAAAGATGCAAACATTCACAGAACAGGTGTTAATTTCGACAATAATGGTAGGTAACTTCTTGTTTTGCTCTGAGCTTCCAGCAGGTTCTTATCACCTGCATGAATGACTGTTATAGTAAGAGCACTGTTAAAATTTAAAAAATTACTCTGATTTCAATAGTTTAGCTCATTCCTACTCACAGAGGTGGGGATGACAAGTGGCAGAGGAAGAAAAGCGAGTGGAGTGACGACGATGATGATGTAGTTTCTGTGGTACCACATCCACTTTAATACATTCAACATGCAACCCATGATGATCTCAGAAAGGCTAACGATCGGACCGCAGTTAGAAAACTCTCCTAAAGCCTGGTAGGTAAGTAGTTCCCAGAAAGCTGAGGCAGGCACACACTAGTCCAGTGTGAGGAGGCCAGTTGGAAAAAATTCAAAGAAGTCAGATCTTCTATCAATGGAGAAGTGCACCGTGGAAAGCTGCTATTGTTAAAAAAATAAATAAATGATTAGAATTTACTCTGTATGTTTGTGTTAGTTCATCAAACATTAGCTCAACACCAAGTGTTCACTATCCTTGACAGGGAGGAGGATGAAGTTCCAGGTAAAAAGAGTGGAGGCAGCTCTAGAGGAAGGGGGGAGGGACGGACAGATGGAGCCAATGATAGCTAAACAATGGTCAGGTTTATCAGGTGGAGTCCAGCTCTGTCATGAGTAACCAAGGTTCAGGGGGTTTACACGTTACAGCTGAGAAGGAGCCCACAGTCAGCCTGCACTGAGGGGATCACAAGAGTTCAGGTTTCACAACATATAACCGATAAACTGGAGAGAACATAGGCCAAGTTTTACTTCAAGATTCAGTAGATCAGGAATGTGTTAACTAAGACTTTCGAACGGGAAATACACAATATAGATCTTTTTTTTGTATTTTGTATTATTTCTATTATGCTACTTTCTGCTTCTTCACACAAGCATTGTTTCCTAACATATGAACCCTGTAGTAAGATGTCTTGAGCAGCTAAATATCTCTTGAACCTTCAGGAGGAGGGAAATGTTACACATAAACTATATGTAACATTTGGTCTTAAGTTCTTCGTTCCTTTTATCTTCACTTTTGTAAAAAATAAATTAATAACAGAAAATGTGATATAACCAGTAACAGAGGGAATTTGATTAAAAAACCAAAATTTACACCAACTTAAGCCAGTTTTATGCTAATTAGCTAAGATGCTGGGCTAGTTGTATACAAAAAAAGTTTCTATAATTAACTATATGCCATATTTTAAAGTAGTTAAAGGCTTTAAAAGAAATGTCTGGTGAGTTTTTGTTAATACACAATAAATCAACCTCAAAACTTTTGGACATTGAGATTGCAATAGCGATTTCAACAGAATTTCAACCTGGTATTTATTCTCTTTGAGCTGAAAGCTGTATTGGAACTAGGCACTTTTTTAGAGGAACTAAATGTACGTATGTCTGAAACACAGGGAACTTTATGAAGTAACAGGAGTCTTTAGGGATCCTTAGTTTGAAGCTCAATTCAAGTTTAGTTGGACTAAAAAGATTCTCCTTTGTGTTTGCTTTTAGTTTTTGTTTTTTGTTTAGCAGAAGAAAATCCAAATTTTAAAATTGGAACTTTCCTTTGAATGATTAAAATGAAAAAATGCTAATAAAGAAGCTCTATAGCTTTATTTCATTTTGTTTACATTTTTTAAATTCAAGTCTCCCGCTTTTCAAATTATGATGGGAGAAGGAATCATGTAATCCCATCACAAGGAGCTGAACTCTAGATTAATGCAAAAAATGGTCTCTCTCCTTTGTTGCTAACATGTGTTAAAATCTGATAGTAGCTCATTTAGAAGAAAACTTAATGACTTTTTAGTTAAATGTATGTGTTATTTCATTATACTGTTTTGTGCTAGTAGAGCATGATTTTAAAGAATCAAGTCTATTAGTATTTTATCTTTTTAAAAAGACAATGTGTGGGTGTAACTGTTTATGTGCTACAAATATTAAAAACCATTTACATTTTTTATAGAGAGGATTCAACCAAAATCTTTAGTTGATAAACACAATAGCTTGGTTTTAACTAAAAAAATCTGAGCTTTTACTCAGTTGGTAGCAAAGAAATGTCTTAAGAGCACAGCTACGCTCAGAAAGGCAGCACGATAGCAGCTTCAGAAGGTTTCGTCACATCTTGACGTTTTATGAGTTATTCAACATTGGAAAAGATTTTGAAATCATACTTTCTCTCTCAAACACAAAAGCTGTAATTCTGGATTATATATCTATATGTATTATGTATCGTCTGGTTTAAACTTCTGAATTTAACAGCTGTAAAACAGAAGAAAAAAAAAGTTCATATACAGGCGCGATTGTGTTTTATAAATAATTTATCCCTACACTTCACGTGAAAGATAAGAGGTCATAAAAATCCACAACTGCAAACTACAACAGATTTCAGCTGCCAAGAGAACAAGGTTTAGTTGTACTTTCTGCAATGAAGATGAAGAACTTAAAATAAAATAAAAAAAAAGAAAATCAAGCCAATAACTTAGATTTGTATCTTTTCGTTTTTAGATTTTTGGATCAAATTTGCAGCATATGAAATGTGAATTGACCATTACATCAGATAATAAAAGATTCAAGTAAAGTTGGTCCTCAAAGTAACAAAGTAATCTTTGCATGGAAAAACATAAACATTTCCTTTTTTTCTTATCAAATGAAAAGAAGGATATTTCTAATCATAAAACCATAGCTATTATATATTCATTTTGATAACTAAACTGAACTAATCGTTTTTATATGAGTGAATGTTCTACACAGTTCCTTTTACAATAAAAAGCTCAAAGGTTGGATCACTGCTCAAAGCCCGTTACACAAGGCAAGCAACTGACTTGCTGATGGATTAATAGCTCTCAATAACACAGGAATAGCAGTTATATTGATGACTAAATTGGCATATAATGGTGGAGCCATAAGGACTTAATTCATCAAATGTGACTGTGTTATTTTTTTACTCCCTACTCCTTGCATTTGTTAGGTTGCAGTGAACTTTCCACTTGATAAAAAACATACCACCTCACTCTGACTGCAGAGGTTTGATGATTTTAATGGGAGGAGGGTAAATCTTACAATAAGTAACAAATGCCTGTCAATGAATGATGAGGAACTGTTAGAATAGTGATCAGCTGTCCCTTCCACACTTTCTGCATTTCTTCACAGTGAGATCTGGCAGATTTAAAACTTATACACACACACACGCACACCACACAAATGGCTTTGGTTTCATGACATATGGGGACATTTTATTGATTTGCATTTGTCTTATATGGCCGAACCCAGACCCTTACTCTAACCCCAACTATTACCAACATATATGCTTAACCTAAAATGAATTCACACCTTAGTCCTAAACTAACTCTACCATATGGTGACCAGTTGAATGTCCCCAAATGTACCTTTAAGTCTCTGTATGTAGGATATTTTGCAAAATACTTCCACCATATTCTAGGTTAAACAAGACCCCTACACACAGACATGCAGAGATGGGAAGTAACGAAGTACAAATACTTCGTTACTGTACTTAAGTAGATTTTTCTGATATTTTTACTTTACTTTACTACTTATTTTTATGGTGACTTTTTACTTCTACTCCTTACATTTTTACACAAATATCTGTACTTTCTACTCCTTACATTTTAAAAAATTGGCTTGTTACTTTAGTTTTGAATCATTTCAATGGAGTTACCGTTATTATTTTTCACGTCACTGTGAAAACGGAGCCGTTTTCCCCCTCTGTTCCCAAAGTGTAGCCGCCATAGATATCCATAATAAAGGCTAGATGTCTCGTCCGCGCTGCTGGCCAATGGGGGTCGACGTCCGCACGTGGCGGCCATCTTGCTACAGGCAGCTCGCTCATTCGTAACATTGTGTTTTGAAGGCGCATGTACTTAAATAACCATAACTTCCTGAATTGTCTAATTGTTTGGTTTGTTAAACAAAAGTCAGACATGTAGTTATGATACTGCACACTTATGAATAATTATAACCATGGTATTTCATATGAAAAGAACATTGAATAGAACATACAGGTGCAATAAATATACACATGCACAAGGTATTTATGTTAAATCAATATATGCTAATAAAACTCAGTGTACTGAATGGCAACATGATATATAGATATATCTATAGATATCTATATAGATATCTATATAGATATAGATACCTATATATATAAATATGTGTATATATATATATATATAAATATGTATATATATAAATAAAATTATGTATATATATAAATATGTATATATACATATTTATATATATATATATATATATATTTTAATATGTATGTATATATATATATGTAAATATGTATGTATATATATATATATATATATATATATATATATATATATATATATATATATATATATATATATATATATATATATATATATATATATATATATATAAATAAACACTTTTATTTGGGTGTGATTAATTATTTCACAGTCCTAATTTATTTATATTTACATACATACTTTTATAATATGAATATTATTGTTATAATAAAATATGGAATACTGACAGAAAAGGCTTATTGTGTGGCAACCTCTTGGTGTAGCAGCATAATCCAGGTTTCAAATTAAAGGTAACACTTTGAAGTTTCATGTAGACTATTCGGATTATATATCAGGGGTAATTACACAAAAGTTCCTATTTTTAAACCATTATAAAAGTGACATTTATTTGCTATTAAAATTTGTACAATAGTCCCCTTCACAAGTATATATAGATGTAGCATGTTGAAATCCCCACCTACACTACTGTGATGGTATACACATGGAAGACAGAGATTTAAAAAATGACCCAAAAAACATAGCTTGGCTAATGCCCTTTGAAAAGGACGGTTTTATTGAGCTTCTGTATAATGTACAAGAGACCGTTGTCCACAAGGCCATCAAAGCGGACAGGAAGGTAGCTGTGGTCATGTACTAGTGCAGGAATGTCAGCAAACGGGGATGGAAGATCTTCTCCTCCTGCTTACACATTATATAACCTGCAGAAACAAAAACAAAAGTGACCAACAACAGATATAATACTAAAGATAGGGGAGGATCTCAAGACTCTCTGTTTATGAATAAAGAATTTTGCTAAACAAAAAATTAGGTTACAACAGAGTTCTATTGTTTTGTCTTTCAATAGTATTCCAAAAACTACCATATCTCTAGAAATAGAATTAGGGAGTGCAATTTTTGATTTGATCCATCTTTCTAAACAATTCCAAAATGTTTTAGTCTGACTGCATTCATAGAAGACATGGTCTATAGTTTCTACATCACTTTCACAGAATGAGCATTTATTGTCATCAATATTAAAACGGATTCTTAGTAGTTCTTTTGATGGGTAGATGGCAGTTTCTTTAGCTTTTGGTTGTATAGGAAGTTTTAAAAAAAAAAGTTCTTGGTATTTCAATTGATTTTTGTTCAAATTTGCAAAGAATGTTATTAGGCCCGAGCAGCTCACCGCTGCGAGAGCCTATTGTTCCTGTACCGTTTGTTATTATTATTATTAGGCCCGAGCA